TTAGTTGGTCTTCATTAGCGCAAAAAGATGCTTAAAAGAAAGGCGTACAACTATAATTTAGTTCTTAGTAACTTCCGATACGAACTAAGGTCAGTCATGTGAATAGCTTGGTCTACAAATGTCTGTAAGTTGAGAGAATGGCCAAGTTATTCATGAACTGTGTTAAGAGTTGAGAAGATTGTCATTTAGTTCTCAATAATCCGGTGATTGATGGTGCTTGACTGGTCGTTTTAGATTACTGTTACTCGGTATCTCTCTCGTGTTGTTTTAATCCGAACTATTTAATTAAAGTAAAGTCTGTTGAAAGCTCATAACTTACGACCAAATATTTCAACCTTCAACCAGAATAGAATCTCTGAACTCATAACGTTTCAAACTATGTGCTAGATATCTCAGGGATGTAGTTGCAGCTTTTGTGGTCATTGGCTTTCTATTTGAAACGGGACAAAAAGATAATCTAATGGACATCCAGATTAACTAGCGAACGCCTATTTCATTGAACAACTCGAAACTCTCAACGCCTTACTTACACGAGATCCACAGAACAAACAGCTTACTATTGTCAAAGTAAATCTCCTACTCTCTCCCTTACAACTATAGACGTGAGTTAATCGAGAGGGAAATAGAATAATAAATGAGTAGAATAAGATGATAAATTGTAGCGGGAACTATAATGAAGAAATCTATAAGTTTATTGGAAGATCTATTACCATGTCTATGTCACTCATTAAACAAATTCACAAATCTTTATTCCTCATTTTCCTATGGCAATTATTCCATCAGACTTCGTGAATTACAAACCGTGTTGGTTCTAAACCGAAGGTAAAGTCTATTGCTTTATCGAATGCTACATTTTAGAGAAAGGGAAAGGAATAGAATGGGTATGCCAAGTTTAATGCTTAGCACGGATATGGTGTGTCCTGCTAAATGCTACATTTTGAGCCAATGGAAGAGAATGCTAAGTTGAATGCTACATTTTTATCAGTGAAAGTGGATGTCAAGACTAATGCTACAGCAAGGAAAAGGGAATGTCAATGGAATTCTGCATTTTCAGAGAAGGAAAGGGAATCTCAAATTCAATGCTGCATTTTTAAAGCTAGGGGAATGTCAAGTGGAATTCTACATTTTTAGAGCTGAGAAAGGGTTGGAATGCTACATTTTTAGAGAAGAAAATAGAATGTCATGTTTAATGCTATATTTTTAGAAAAGAAAAGGGAATGTCAATGGAATGCTATATTTTTAGGGAAGGAAAGGGAATGTCAAGTGGAATGCTACATTTTGAGAGCTAGGAAAGGTAATGTCAAGGAGAATGCTACATTTTGAGAGCTAGGAAAGGGAATGTCAAGTGAAATGCTATATTTTAGAGAAGAAAAGGGAATGTTAAGTGGAATGCTACGTTTGGGAGCTAGGAAAGGTAATGTCAAGGAGAATGCTACATGTTGAGAGCTAGGAAAGGGAATGTCAAGTGGAATGCTATATTTTTAGAGAAGGAAAGGGAATGTCAAGTGGAATGCTATATTTTTAGAGAAGAAAAGGGAATGTTAAGTGGAATGCTACATTTTGAGAGCTAGGAAAGGGAATGTCAAGTGGAATGCTACATTTTTAGAGAAGGAAAGGGAATGTCAAGTGGAATGCTACATTTTTAGAGAAGAAAAAAGGGAAATGTCAAGTGGAATGCTACATTTTAGAGCTAGGAAAGGGAATATCAAGGTGAATGCTACAGTTTTAGAGGTAGGAAAGGGAATGTCAAGTGGAATGCTACGGTTTTAAAGCTGGGAAAGGGATGTCAAGTGGAATGCTACATTTTCAAAGCTGGGAAAAGGAATGTCAAGTGGAATGCTACATTTTTAGAGCTAGGAAAGGGAATGTCAAGGAGAATGCTACTTTTTGAGAGCTAGGAAAGGGAATGTCAAGCGGAATGCTACATTTTTAAACCCGGGAACGGGAATATCAAGTGGAATGCTACATTTTTAAACCCAGGAAAGGGAATGTCAAGTGGAATGCTACATTTTTAGAGCTATATAAAGGGAATGTCAAGTGGAATGCTTTATCTTTATAGCTATAGAAAATAGGGAATGTAAAGTCTAATGCTAAATTTGTAGAGCTTGAATTGAGGGAATGTCCAATGGAAGTGGAATGTAGCATTTTGAGTGCAATAAAATGAAATGTAAAGTCTAATGCTATATTTTAGAGCGGTAAAATCAAATGCCAGGTCGAATTCTACTTTTTAGAGCTAGGAAAGGGAGTAATAGATTGGGAATACCCTTGTGGCAGACGGTTTAAATAAAATATTTTAAACATCTCACTTTCATATATTATATTCTGATGGTCACTTAAGCTGGCATGTTTTTTTTTTAACCTCATAAAGCTGAAACTATGCTGCTGACAATGCATTTATTCATCCACATCAAATGTGAAATTCAGTCAACACATGGCAAAGGGCATCTAAATTAAAAGCTAAGAAATAAAGGCATAGTTTAAGGTCTTTATACAATTTTATTTAGCCAAGTGAACCACTACATTAGATTTGAAGTTAATGTAACGACAATGTTTATTTTGTCCATTATTTCATAAATGATATTTTACAATCTTAAGATGAATAGAAAAATAGGCTGATAAACTATACTGGCACTATAGTAATACTTCCACAATGCTAACATAAATCTCCATAACATTCAAACATCAAGAAATACTTCTATCCAGTCTGAAAAATGTGCATCTTGTTATAGCTTGTTATAGCAGTCTCCAAAATTGGGGTACATTGGTATCTCCAAATCGGCGGCTTATTATGTTATTTTAATAATCATAAACATAAAACCCCTTTAAGAAGAGTTCAAATAGGTAATATTGTTATGTTTGATTATTTTGATTACATTTCTAAATTCCAACTATAAACATGTTAGACCTATGTCAATAAAAACAGGAGAATCTATACAGCCTGTATGATATTACAAATATAGTACCAGAACAATTAACAATGTTACAGCCTTACTTTCTCATTTGTACTGGCACATACTACTCTTCTATAACATACATCATTCACAAAACATTCATTGATAATGTGGACATGCATACAAACTTTGCTCTGAAAACAATCCATTATGAGCGGTTATTTACTCAGACAGTTACTTTTTGCAGTGTTTTCTCAATATTTTAGATTTGGCCTATCATTAATAATTTACAATAATCAATAATAACAGGCCCTTTAAAATCAATTTTAGTTCAAAATGTAACAATAATAACATAATAACTTGCATTTTGATCTTATGACCAAATAAATGGTAACATTTCAAAATAATCTTGAATAGCAAGTTTGGATCACAATTTCAAAGCCAGTTTTAATATGCATGTCCACATTTTTAAGATACATTTAACAAAGCACCAATTTTATTTTCATTGAAAATGTCAATTGATTCAAATGGTTTAGCATGTTGCTTTGTGAAATGTTTCTGATCACTAAATCTACTTTCATTTTCCCCAAACTTGATATTTACACACTTTATACATAACAATTCTTCAAAACATTTATAATAATCTATTTATAGTATAATAGGAAACCACAGCTACAGAGTCAAACAGAGATATTCATACACATCTATCAAGGATTCAAATCATAAACATGTTCATGTCTAATTTATATTGAGGTGATCTGAAAGGTTATAGATATACAGGTTTTGGATCTGTAGTAGATCTGAGGTTCTCATATCAAGATATCTGATTGCCTGGAAGAGATTCTAAAAGATCAGCTAGTTCTCGTCATGTATTATCTTTAAACAGTCTACCAGAAAGTTCTACTGGCACTCTGTAACAGATTCTGTTTTACGGAAACTGCCAAAGATCGGCGAATAGCAACACTAGTTTGAGAAGTTTCTGATGACAGTACTATGGCTTGTAAAGTTTCCATGACCATATATTCTACCCAAAAGAAAATAGATTGCTAGTTCTTGTTTATGTTTCTATGCCTTTTCAGATTTGCATAAATATCTTTTTCTGGCTATCATTCATTCACACTGTAGTCCGAATCATCTGTCTCCATTCCAGCCTCAGATAGTGACAACTGCCTAAATATCTATCTGAGGCTGGAAAAGAGGTAGATGTTTCGGTCTATTCATAGTATGAATTTCATACTGAAGCCATTTATATTAATTGCCACTGTATGGTTGAATTCAGTTTTTTCATATCAGGTCTGATGATTTGATTTTATTTGCCAGTCATGTTCTCTAACAACTCCAGTAAGAATATTTGTGCAGATAGAATCAATATTTTGGATTTATTCATATATTCAGGATGGAAAAAAGCTAATTAAGTATCCATCTTTGATTCAAAAGAAAAAGATCTGGGACATTCTCGAAAAATTTGATGCAATGATACAATGATCTGATTGGATAATAGAAATAAATTCAAAATCAATTTAAGTGATTGACCAATGAGATGACTAGAACATTAAAATCATCTAAAGTCAAGTTTTCAAGTTAAGGAAACTTGGTAAATAAGCTCTGAGCTGACATCAAGACAGTAAATTAAGCTTCACTGAAACAGTTATTAGTTATTTTTAGCAAGACAAAGTCTTAATGAAAAATTTCAAAAAAAAATAATTCAAGGGACGAGTTTTACTGGGTGCTAACTTAAAGGAATACAATGTCTTAGAATGAACATGAAATTTAAGAATTTTAAACTTGGTCAATAAGAACATATTATATTCATCAGTTCATCATTCAACAGAATCCTTATATAATCAGATAAATTCCAAAAAATAAGTAATTATCCATAAACATGCAATTAACTAATAATAACTTTATTAATTTTAAGATTAAGCATTTTTCAATAATTACTTAGTTTTATGAATTTTCTAGATTTTCCTGGGATTCTGTTGTAAATTAATGACACCAGGTAAGTTCACTGATGAATATTTATACTCATATTGACCATTCTTAAGAACTTAAATTTTGTGTTCATTCTCAGACGTAGTATCACCTTAAAAAAAACTTAACAATTTTTTTAGATGTTTCTGTCTTAATATTTTTATATTGCTCTACAATTGATGTATTGAACACTATTTCAACAGTGAGAATTTTTATTGTTATTATCTAAATATATAGCCCTATATAGTAATAAATCTTCTTGTCTTATTGAAAATGGGATTTCAAAAATAAACATACAATAAGTATACAGCCGTATAAAGCTTTTGGACCCTTTCATGTTCCTGTATATCAACTTTAGCACTTTTACTGGTACTTCATAAAATGGATGTTCTTACAAATCTACTTCCAAGGAAAAACTCTTGAAAATAGATAATTTAAAGTATTCAATGTAATACTAATCACTAAATTTATTCTTTCATATTATTTGATAAAAGTCTGATAAATGTCAGTCACACTCTCAATGATACAAACTTGATACACTTTAAACAAGGCTTCATTATTATCAGTCTAATCTAAATTAAATTAAACTTTCCTTCCATCTTTTATTACCATTTATTTTTATTATAGCCACTTCAGTTAGGGTATTTCAAACAAAAAGTCAATGAAGGCTGTCGTTAGACCCTAACTGAAGTGAGTATATTAAAAATAAAAGCTAACAAAAAAAAAAACCAGAACAAAGTTTGGTTTAATTTTAATTAGACTGCATTATCATTTGGTCTAAAAAAAAAACCAGCCATACTTTTAATAAGAATAGAAATATGGACAAGCAATTGATCACAGTGAACCTCAATGAATACTTCATGATCTGTACAAGGTGAAATTTTATTTTAGCTTTGAATTTGATTTAAAAAATATTGATCCATGTATTATTTAATACACATAGGAATTTGAATATACCAAGGTAGTTAATATGTAATCTGATAATTCTAAAGGTTTGATCTATAGATGATCTGTTGTATTAAGGTAATCAGTATCACCAGAAACAATAACTGATACTCAAAATACATTCATTGTACCACAAACACAAACTTGTTTAATTACCATACGTTTTCCAACATGAATATAATTGTTGATATCTGATTAGACTAATGTTGATGATATGAAATCAGTAGCAGTGACTAATTCACGTATATACGGTGATTTATTTCATAAAGATACAAATAACCTGACAGTCATTTTCAAAATTTAGCATACCACAATTTACAAAGCTACAAACTTCATTCATAATATTGCAATACAAATGATAAGGGTTACATTGTCGGCCATTATTGACGTCAAGGGAAGCAACTGTGTAATGCCATAGCCAAGAGATAGAGAGAAGAAATGAAGAAATGAAAGAATAAAATGATAAATAAAGATATAAAAATATGTATATATAATAAGAAAGAGAGTTATGGTGTCAGGATGGTAATAAAGATGACGGAGGTTTTAAATTCTCTATCTCAGCTATCTGTTTATCTAGAAACAATATTCTGAAATAAATATAAATATCAAATATTAAATATTCTGCTATTAAATGGCAATAAATTCACAATAAAATATGCTATGTTATGTCAATTGATATCTAAAATAGTTCTATTTGAGCATGTGAACTTTTGCAAAATATTAAGAAAATATTTCCAGTAAATCATGTTTGTTTTTGGTGCTTGTCTGGTAATTTACAAGTGTATCATTACACACACAATCAAATGATATATATCTAAGTTTTCAACTGAAATTAAATTGTAAGCTTATTGATTGTATATCATGACTCTTTTAAAAACACCTGATGGTACTTCTCTTGGAGGAGTCTTGAAGAATTCGTACAATTTTTTTTTATGTTTTAACTCTCAAGAATCTCTGATAAATCTGATAATTCAATCACAATCTGAGACAATGAGCTGTGCTGAGACTGTTTTAACATTGGTGTAGTGTTTAACTTTGCTTTAGATTAGACACAAGTATGTTTAAAAGATCATTTTACTTATTAAAATGCCTACCTTTGTTCATGTAAAGTAGATTCTATCTCAGCCACTCTAACTAAAGATCTGGCCTTGGTCAATTCTACTGATATCTGACTACAATGGTGACTTCCAACAGTTAGAGCTTCTTGCCAGTATCTCTTTGCCTGTAAAATATTTATTTGATGAAAAGAGGGACGATATGTTTTTTATCTTTCAGAAAACTGGACAAAACTTCACGAATGAATTGTCACCTCTGAATCTTCTTCAGATAGTCCCCATACTGATATTATTCATTCAACTATACTGCAGTTTACCATCCTTTCAACAATAGATTTACACTGTCAACAATACAAGGAATTGATCTTCAAACTGGCCACTTACCTCTCTCTCAGCTAGATCAGCTTGCCAACCCATCACATGACCAATTAATTTTTCATTATAATAATTACTAAATGTTGATTGGAGTTCAGCTGACTGATCCTTTTTACTGAACCCAGCCCCCGATAAGGCGCTGGTGTTGACAGGGGCGTTCTGAGAACTAGTCGTACTATTGGCAGGGCTGTGACTGAAATTTAAAAAGTTTGTTAACAGTTTTCTGAAGAATAAGTCAAAAATTCCAAGACTACAAAGATAGCCCATTGAGTACCTTAGCAATTATGCATCATTTAAGTTTACGTTACCAGCTGAATGACTTTAATTTCAGACACATGCAATAATTAAAATTTCAGCAATACATAGTTCAGAATCATATTCTAATTTTCAATGCAAATTCAGCAATTTTGAAATTAAGATAGTCCTCACATTAAGGCTGTTATTAACAATCTTACAAGCAGATATCATCAATATCACATCACTAGTCAACATTCAAACATTCATATTAATAACATCTATTAACCCAGACAACTTCTAGACCTTTATAGAAATCATGACTTCATCCAGAACATCAGACATTGAACAATTTGAACTTTCAATCACATCCTGTGAACAATACTTACCAGGAACCATGTTCTGAGAGTTCAGACATTGGACTGGCACCACCAGCACCATTCTGATGATCAGTATTAACTAGTGGTGTACTGATACTAGGTGTTGTAGTGATGGTGAGAGGAAGGGGAGTACCAGCACCACTAGTAGAAGACTGTAAAGATGCTAACTGTAATAACTGTTGTTGAGATAGATCAGGGTGTGTGTTTGGACTCACTCTCAATTCATCTTTTTGACTTGGACCATTCTGAGTCACTGTAGAAAAAAAAACATTTCAAATTTTTTAAATGCACATATATACATAAACACTACAAACTCAAAATCGACATCTGGCCTAGGTTTCGAAAAGACTTACAATGGAAATTTGTTTGGGATTTTACATTGAAAAATGGTACACTCATGTCAGAAGTTGATAAGGCCTGAAGCCTGCTGGCTGAAATCTCAAATGTGCCTCAAATAGCAACATATAGTTGGTAATTCTATTAGGCTAGTACAGTGCAATAACATCATGCAATAACAGGTCAAGACAATTCAGAAAGCGCGATATATAAATCAAAATACAAACTTACTGTTTTGTGTCCATTCTATTTGTAAATTGAGAGCAGCTTGTAACTTTTGTAAAGTTTGTAAAGCTGAAACATAAAACAGATTAATTATCATATAAATTAAATACATTAATTAATTGCATCCATTTCATACTATTTACCACAGAGATGAAATACTTTGTCACCATGTAAAGAGAATTTCTATTGATGGGTAAATATTAAAAGCTTCTTTTTAGCAAGTAATTACATATGGTTAAAGCATTTCTATAAAACCACAGACATCTGATAGAAAATTTGAATTACCGGTATTCAATTATAAGCCATATAATAATCATAAAACTAGAAAACCCCAGAAAAATGTGGAGAAACAATGACAGTCCAGAAATAAATTAGACCATACAGATTATATTGATAATGTACCTATTTCTTTGATGTTGTCTTGTTTAGGTTGAGTTGTAGACATAGAAAGGCTGGTTGTATTGGTAGTGTGAGGTATAATATTGTTTGACTGTATTCCACCAGTTAACGGTGCTAGACGTGACGTAGTAGGATAGTACCCACTACTTGACGTTGGCGTTTTCGTTACCGTTGGCGTATTACCAGGAGATATTTCCATATCTTCATGACTCGAATCTAAAACATATCAATATTACAAATCTTGAGACTTAAACAGAAACCAAATCTACAAGCACTAATTAATGATTAAATAAGATTTTCTAAATAAGATATATATTTGGGCATTTCCCTAGTTAGTGTTTCATTAGATTAATCTGATTTAAAATGCAGATCTGGACGCTTTGTTTTGTTGTGGTGATAATGATGACCAGCCATCCATTTTTATCAGATTGTTCCAGGACAATGAAACTTAAATTGTTTTAAGTCTAGGGAAATAACTCTCATTGTAGATGTTATCTTAATAGCATTAATAATAATCAATAATTCACATAACATAGGATATGAGTATCATTCGAATATTAATACAAACACAATACAATAAAAAATACATCTGACCACAATGCAATACAAAAGAACCACCAGGTATGTACTATTTTTGAACTTATGTCAAAGAGATGATGCCCTGTATCATGGTAAGATAGCATAATTTCACAGAAATCTAATACCCGGTACTTATGATATTAGATACTGGTAACAATTATCTTGACATAAAGTAGAGAGCCAAAAACAAAACTGAAGAGGAAATTCCAGCCCGTGTGGAAGCGAGGCGTGGGTGCAGTCTTTGAAGTTTACTGTCAAATAACCAAGGATGAAAACGCGATTAATGCACATAGATTTGTCTGGTAAAATAGTAAATGAATTACAAATGTCATCTCTCAGTCGGAGCAATTAGTAAATTAACTTTACATTTACTAAATTAATGGTAATAGCTGAAGTAAGAAATATATATCAATTCCTTGTCTTTTAAATTGAATTGCAAGAGATAGCAGTAGGGCTAGGTAAAATAATTGTAATAATCGATTATCGTCACTATAATGAATCAATTAAATGTGAATGTTATATTTTCTCCACTGTACCTGTAAACGATAATAACTGATCAAACCAAGAATAAACTTCTATAACACAACAATAACCCATGGAATTAAAAATTTAGACATGATTCTCATTAAGTATTTAGAAGATTTTTCACTTAAAATATTTTGATTATTAATCGTTTATTGATCGATAGCATGTTGATAATCAATATTAATATGGTACTCGATACCCAGCCCTAAATAACAGTCTCGAGTCTGAATACATGGCATAAAGGAGAATTCAGGCATGTACATTATTCCACATATAATACATCATTCAATTTGTTTTTAGTTTGAGAATCTGTCAAGTGTAAAATGTATGAGGTTGACAGTGTGCTCTTGACTTGGTCCCAGGACTGTTTTAAAAGAGAATAATGTGTCCATTTTAACAACTTTTATCAAAAAGAAAGCTAAGAAGTAAGAGAATTAACTAAAAAGTTGAGAATGACATCTAGCAGTCTAATTCAACCAGTTGTTCTAGACACATGGGTTTTAACTAAAGATAAACTAATGAAATAAGGCCTGCCTTGGATAAATTTTTTGTTCTATTTTAAACTTTATATATATAGCAATTTTTAGGAACTTCTTATAACAAGTCAAGATCACAAGCTGATGCTGTTCATTGAAACAATTTCAACTAAATCTCATCCAATAGCAATAACTCAATAGCCTTTAATCTTCAAATTGTGAACATTTCCAAGATCTCAATAACACACTAAACCAGATGAAAAATCCAGCTGATTTTTCACTGATTCAAAGGCAATATCTTTAAAACCCTTCATGACATTTGTTTCAAAAACCAACTGCAATATTTACCCTTATTGTCATATAAGCTCAGTACTTCATTTATCCTTTTGAATAAACAATGCCCAGCCCTATTTGTACTTATCTAAAGATATCTCAACCAATGTGTAAGCACATCAAGTTTCATCCACATTAAAAGTAAATCTTCTATTTAGCTACTAGTGTTGACTGAAAAGTTCTAAGTGCTAAATGGGATATTTCAATTGGATTAAAACAAACGTTTGCCACTAACATGTTCTGAATAATAGACATAACTGTAGTGTCATTATTGTTCTAGTACAAGGCCGGGCCATCTTGTAAACCTATCTACTGAATCACCAGAAATAAAAAAACTGGCTAAAGGCCAGTCGTCAAGTCCTTGCAAAAAAAAAGGGCCAACTGTGAAATTCAAGCATGGCAGACAGAGCCTTGAAGGTAAATAACGTCCAGGAAGGCCATCAACAGCACCATTCCAAAAATAGTTTCTACAAGATAGGTCCCAAATCTCTTGACAGCTGATTAGAAATATCAGATACTGTCGTTTTCCAGCAGATCCCAGTGATTCAGTGGCCCAATTTGTAATCATGGATCTATACATACCTTCAGCAAATATTATCAATCATAACAATAATGAAACATTTTCACTGTTATTATAGTGCTCAATACATCAGTTGCAGAGTGATATAGAAATACCACTGTTAAAATAGTGCTCAATACATCAGTTGCAGAGTGATATAGAAATACCACTGTTAAAATAGTGCTCAATACATCAATTGTAGAGCGATATAGAAATACCACTGTTAAAATAGTTCTCAATACATCAATTGTAGAGCGATATAGAAATACCACTGTTATTATAGTGCTCAATACATCAGTTGTAGAGTGATATAGAAATACCAGTGTTAAAATAGTGCTCAATACATCAATTGTAGAGCTATATAGAAATACCAGTGTTAAAATAGTGCTCAATACATCAATTGTAGAGCTATATAGAAATACCAGTGTTACAATAGTGCTCAATACATCAACTGTAGAGCAATATAGAAATACCAGTGTTAAAATAGTGCTCAATACATCAATTGTAGAGCTATATAGAAATACCAGTGTTACAATAGTGCTCAATAATTCAATTGTAGAGCGAAATATTAAATTAGGGCCTAAAAAAAAAACATGTTGCTACTCTGAGTTTCATGCAATTAGATCTTCAGACAACTGACCTATTTTCAGCCTGCATCCCTACTGAAGTGGGACATGTAGAACTTATTTTCAGGATTCTCAATATCAAATTGTCGTTTTTACAGTCAATGGGCATGTACTGGAAAGTAGTGTTGTAAAAAGACATGTCTGGTGTGTTGGAGTGTAAATGTATAGTATGTTAATGTAATCTTTAACCAAAGACGTGGAAAGACCATATTGCCAATCGAGTTTACAACATACTGAAGCACATTACTGTGTAAAATTGGAGATTCAATTTAATCTATACCCCAGTATGTTCCACAGAGAAAAATCTGAAATCTTTTGAAAGTAAAAATGTCCTGAAAAGGTAAGTTTTAACACATGATAAATTTGGTCTTACCTGGTATGGATAATAATAAGCCTTATTAAACACAGAGAATCGGATTAAACAGAATTGATAACACTACAATTACTACTTCCATTGACTATATATATACTTACGGTTATTTTTGTGTCCGTGACTTAATGGAGTAAGTCTACTATCACTGTCATGACGATTCCTTACGCGTGCAGGATCGACCATGGCGTACGGGTGGGAACTATTTTTTCTGGTGGAGTCAGAATAAGAATCTTTATAATAATGGTCTGAAGATGAGGAATTACTCCTGTGATAAGTATGTGGCACAGTGTTTGTATTATCCTTATATTTATCAACAAAAATAACGTCAGGGGTTGTTTTATATGAGTCTGTGTTACCACTACTTGATGATCTTGTCTTGTCGTATCTTGTTTCACCGGAATGTTTCGATCTGTCATCAACAGCTGAAAATATAACATAGTTCATTCAACATACGCTTGACAAACATCCTTTCTTAAATTGACTAATTAACAGCTGATAGAACACATTAATATCAAAGACCTTGAATTCATTCAGATAGTCATTTCATCCTAACTGGTTTTGCCCTGCTATTTCAATTTAGCTCCTTGCTTTCCACACTGAGTGAGTGTCGAGTGACATTATTTATGTATTGCATTAAAGAAATAGAAGACTAAACTTACATCTTGCCGATGAAGGGTATGACTTGACAGGACCACGACCATCCTTTGATCTTGTACTTTCA